TTATTTTGCATTCATATTTATTTGATATCAAACACTGACCTGAAGGCCTGCTTTAAAATACTCCTTCAGAGTTGATTTGCGATAAGTTCATTTAAATATTTTTTTTTATTATTATTTTATATATATAATCCTGTATTTTACAATGTTTTCAGTCAGTGCCATTCAGACCCTTTATAAATCGCTTCAAAGAAATAACATTGACATTATTATTATTTTTTTCACTTTAGGATCACATATTACATGCGACGGCACCAAGTTTGGCGTGAAGTGAAGTCATAAAATGAAAACGTTTTCAAGAGAAAAAACAAGATACAAAGTTAAAGCTGAAGTTTTAATCTGCTTATATTTTGCCTTCCCTGGTTCTTTTTCTCCCCCCTCTGCAACATGCTGATTTAATTATTAAATAAAACCTTTCCGCTTTTATTACATACATTATATTAGACCCAGTGACACCAGGTCCCTTTGCTGCTCTATGTCAGGGGTAGCCAAACTGTGGTCCTCCAGCTGTGATGAAACTACAAGTCCCATTAGGCATTGCAAGTCTCTGACAACCACAGGCATGGCCTTCTGAGGCAGATGCATGATAGTATTGGAGGGCCGGAGTTTGGCTACCCCTGCTCTATGTAATGCGGGCAGATCATGACTCATGGGAGGGGCCAGATTCTGTACATAGCTTCCTTAAAAAGGAATCTGTGGTAACGCCCACATGTGATGCTGAGCCTCCATGATTGAAAGAACTGAATCCAATGAATGAAAGGGACGGGCCAGGAAAAGCCAGGCTGTGAGGAAAGGCTAGGACTACCTCCAGCCAGGAAATGAAGCGGCCTCTATCTGACTTGCTGCAGCTTCTAATGCACATTGTGAGAAGCTCGCCGTGTGCAGTGGAAGCAATTTCAGTATAGGGGAGGAGCCTGTACAACTGAGCAAGACTGAAGGCAAGGCCGGAGATCAGCTTTGTATAACACATCCTAATGTTTTCTAGTTTTGGATAGAGTTAGATCCTCTGTCAGGTCCGTTGTACTGCTGAGAGAAAATCCTAAACTTTGCGTTTCACCGGATCAGTATTAAAGGGAAAGTCTTCCATTGGGGACACTTGGTTAGAAGACAACTGTCTGAGAAAGGATTTCTCTCCCTTCCTGTTGGGTCTATGGGAAAGGAAATGAAGGAAAATCTCCCCACCGGGAACTCTATCCAAAACTAAAAAAGAAGTGTTGGCTTTAGACATCAAAGCTTTGTCGCTGCATGGCAGTAAAATAGGCCAGGTGGTGTTGGTGGAAGGGAGATGGACTTGAAATCCGCCCCTGCAACCAACCTTTACTCTACATGCTACAGCTGAACCTGGTATCC